TGAGGTTGCTGTGAGCTAGGCTGATGCCACGGCACTCACTCTAGCCAGGGCAACAGAGTGAGAATGTCTCAAAAAAAAAAAAAAATCATTCGTTGCAGGAACTGGAGGTTGCAGTGAGCTATGATGATGCCATTGCACTCCAGCCTGGGTGACAGAGTGAGACCCTGTCTCAAAAAAAAAAAAAAAGAAAGAAAGAAAAGGCCGGGCTTGGTGGTTCACGCCTGTAGTCCCAGCTACTTGGGAGGCTGAGAAGGGAGGATCTCTTGAGGCCAGGATTTTGAGACTAGCCTGGGCAACACAGCAATATCCTGTCTACAAAAAATTTTTAAATTAGTCGGGTGGGGTGGCTCACGCCTGTTATGCCAGCACTCTGGGAGGCCGAGGCGGGAGGATCACTTGAGCTCAGAAGTTTGAGATCAACCTGAGCAAGAGTGAGACCCTGTCTCTACTAAAAACAGAAAACTTAGCCAGGCATGGTGGCGCCTGTAGTCCCAGCTACTTGGGAGGCTGAGGCAGGAGGATCACTGGAGCCCAGGAGTCGGAGGCTACACTGAGCTCTGATGATGCCACTGCACTCTACCCAGGGCGACACAGCAAGACTCTGTCTCAAAAAAAAAAAAAAAAAAATTGAGCGCCTACTCTGTACGAGGCTCACATACACCAGTGAATAAGTTAGACACAGATCCTGCCCTCCTGGGGCTCATGGCTGTAGCGCGGGGACACAGGTGGCCCAAACAGCCCCCTGAGAGGCCTCACCTGCTAAAAGCCACCCCCATCTTGTCCTTCATGTGTTACCCTGTTGGTCTACTTGGCTATGTCACCTGAAATTATGGTGTATCTTAAAGCCCTGCTTGCTGTGTCTTCCAAATGCATGGTCGCTCTCCAAGGCCTTTGTCTTCATCACAGCTGTCACCCCAGGGCCTAGAACTGTGCCTGGGACATAATAGCTTGCATGGGCGACAAGGCCGTAGGATGCCCATTCCAGGCTCTGCAGGGAAGTAGCCTGATGGGTGACCAGGGTTGAAGGAGAGTGTGACTTCAGGCTGGGAAAGGTGACATTGGAGCTGAGACTCCGCTGTGGGAAGGACTGTGTCCCCCCAAAGGATATGTTCAAGTACTACCCTCTGGTACCTGCGAAAGGGACCTTATTTGGAAACGAGGTCTTTGCAGGTGGGCTCAGGTCACAAGGAGGCTGCGCCGGGGTCAGGTGTTCTCGTACCAGACGGGATCTGGACACGCACAGAGCCACGCGGAGGGAAGAAAGCTGAGTGAAGACAAGGCAGGGAGTGGCCCGATGCAGCCACAGCCAGGCTTTGCTGGGAGCCCCCAGAAGCCAGGAGAGACGAGGGTCCTCCCCGGGAACCTTTGGCAGGAGCACGGCTGCGCGGACGCCTTGATTTTGCACCTCTGCCCTCCAGAAAGGGGAAAGATTGCGTTTCTGTCGTTTGAAGCCCCCAGTTTGTGGTGCTTTCCCACAGCAGCCCTGGCAAACTCACAAAGATCCAAGGGATGATTAGAAAAGTGCCCTGTGGGTGTCCCAGGGAAGGGCATTCTAGGCTGGGGGAACAGCCTGTGCAAAGGCCCTGAGGCGGAGCGGGCAGCTGGCGGAGCTGCAAGGGGTGTGAGTGGGTGAGGGGTGGGAAGTGAGTTGGGAGGGGTCTCGGGGGCGGGGCAGGGGAGATGGCATGGACCTGTGGTGACTGGAGGAACAGTTGACGCCAACATGCCCTGGGTCCCCGTGGCTGTGACTTCCTAGCTGCTCCCATCTCTTCCGGCAGCCCGCTGCCCCCCCTCACCCAGCCCTGACTCCGGCCACAGCCCAGCTCCCGGGGGTCAAGGCGGGGTCCGGGTGCGTAGGGAACAGCCGGGTGGCAGCTAGACAGCGCGGCCCAGCCTCCTCCGCCTCATTAGCCAGGCGGCTACTTCCGGCATCTGAGCAGCTGAGCACCTCCCCGGGCATCCCCCCAACACCCCTTGGCCCACGCCAGGCCGTCTGTTCCCCATGGTTCCCCCAGGCCTGGCTCAGCCGGGACCGGGCTGTGGATCCGCCTCTGCTAAATAAACACCCGTGCGGGCCGCTCCTGCCCTCCCCGGGCGCACGAGAATTTGAGGCAACACGTGCGGAGCCCGAGCGCCCGCTTGCTTAGCGCCGGAGACGACGCATGGGGATCGGGAGAGTTTGTATTTGCAGATGTGATTAGTTAAGATGAGGTCACGACGGATTCGGATGGGCCCCGATCCAATGACTGGTGTCCTTACACGACAGAAATGTGGACGCAGAGACGCAGGGAGACGGCCGTGTGACAACAGAGGCAGAGATTGGAGTGCTAGGTCTACGAGCCAAGGGACACCAAGGATTGCCAGCAGCCACCAGCAGGGCAGGGAAAGATCTTCCCCCGGAGCCTCGGGAGGCAGCCGGGCCCTGCTGACACCTTCATCTTGGACGTCTGGGCGCCGGAACCACGAGAGAATCAGTCTCTCTTGTTTCCAGCCACCAGTTTGTGGTGCGTGGCGACGGCAGCCCTGGCAGCTTCCTACAAGACTCGAATGAGGGCCGATGTGTCCTTGAGAAAATTTTAAACGTAGGACCAGAGCGGGGCGGACGAGTAGGGTTTCTGCAGTGTCGTTTGAAACACTGAAAAAAACTGGAACTAACCGAAGTGTCCACCAACAGGGGATCGGACAAGTGAACGGCAGTCCGTGTGCGTTGTGAGATGCGGGGAGATCGTGGGTGTGGCCGGGGAGAGGTGGCTGCAATGCAGTCACGCGGGGTGGGGGGTGACAATGGAACTAACCGCGGTGTCCATCCGTTGGGGATCAGTGAAATAAACCGTGATCCGTACCTGTCGTGGAATTGTGGAACGCAGGGACATTCGCACGTCCCCACAGAGACAGTCAGCTGAGACCTAGGGGTGTGTGTGTGTGTGTGTGTGTGTGTGTATTTGGGGGGAACAGAACTAACCTCGGTGTCCGTCCGTTGGGGGGCACTCAGCTAAGCTGTGATCTGTGGTTATTGTGAAGAGATCCGTGTCTGCGGCGGGAAAGACGGCCGAGATGCCTTTATACGGGGGGGAAAAAAATCAAGGTTGCCAAACAATTGCAGATGGCGCGAGCCTCCCCAAGGCAAAATAAAACGAAATGCCAAACCGAATTCTAGCGTCGGGTGGACACGTGTTCGTGCGCCGACGCCCAGAAGACGTCTGGGAATTCACACACCGCCCGGGGCGGCCCCGGTGAGCGTGGGGATGTTGCTGCGGCTGAGAGTGTGGTCACACCACGAGAAAACGGAGGGAACCCTGGACTCTGGGAGCTCAGCAGCCTTCGCCTCCTGCCCCCGGCTTGGGGACACGGGAGGACGGCGGACTGGACGGGGTCCTCCCACTGGAATTGTCCTTAATCCGGACCTGGGCATTGCAGGAAACGTAATCTTCTCTCACTGCAAACTCCCTCCCGGGGCTGTTTTTCTAGGTCATTCTTTCCCGAGCTCTTGCCCCCAGACAGCACACGGAGAGGCTGTGTCCTGGGAGGCGATAAGAGCGCCAGAACGGCCGACAGGTCCTTGACTTGAGGCTCCATCTCGCACCTCTGGCGACTTCCTGCCTTAAACCTGTCCTGGGTTCTCTGGCCAGCGCCAGGCCCCTGTCCCGGCCTGCGCTCCTCCCTGGGGTCAGGGAACTGTACCCTCACCCGGAGTGGGGTCTAGAGCCTCAGCAGCCTGCTTCGGAGGGGTCAGGGCCCTGAAAGGGGGTCTCTTCCAGCCCCCAAAACACACACTCCCTGCAGGAACAGAGGTGTTTGGTTTTCCCTCTGCTGGAGAGAACTTCATGACCCTAGAATAAAATTTCAAGTCTTACAGGCGGCTCACAGACCCTGCCTCACCTGGCCCCTCCCCTCTGCCCTCTGTCCCCCTCCTCTCCGGCCACAGGGGCCTCCTCGCTGTGCCCCCAACATGCCAGGCG